GTGGTACCAACACCCCAGGTGGCGCGAACTGGTCGCGGCAGGCGTACCGTAATGCTGCGCGCATATCCACGCTCGAGATTGCTATTCGCGCTCAGGCGAAGAAGTTCCTTGCCCATCCTCTGGTAGTGCGCCAGCTGGAAGCCATCTGGGCAGGCACCATTGTCTTCCACTCGGCAGCCGATAGCCTACACCGGAAGCCAGACTCCCCCCAAGAACGTGGGTACAACGTCCGCGACAACCTCTCCCCACGGACAGGCCCGTCTCGTCGCATGTCGCCGACCAAGCCCGCGCCTCCCCTGCCTCCGCCTGCCGCGCTTCTTCGGCGTACAGTAACACTCTACGATCCCCACGATGCCTCCCTCTTCAAACTCTCCCGTCTACGTGTTCCGCGCTACCGCAACCTGTTCTCGACTCTCTCCTTCGCCATCATGCTGGGCCTGTTCTTGGCTGTGCTGGCTGAGAAGTCGGACGATATAACAGCACTTGAAGTCTTGTTCTGGTTCTGGAGCGCTGGATACATGCTCGACGAAGTAGTTGGTTTCTCTGAACAGGGCTTTGGTCTATACATTATGAGTGTTTGGAATGCCTTTGATCTAGGTATCCTCCTCATGTTCATGGCTTACTATGTCTTACGCCTTTACGGAATTCTCATGCCCGACGTCAGTCGCCACGGGGTGGCTGCTATGGCTTATGATGTGCTGGGATCCACCGCGGTCCTGCTTTTTCCTAGGCTGTTCTCGGCTCTGGACCATTATCGGTACTTTTCGCAGCTGCTCATTGCCTTCAAGATGATGGCTATGGATCTGGTTGCGATTCTCGTCCTCATTGTGATAAGCTGCAGTGGTTTCTTTGTCGCTTTTAGCTTGGCCTTCAAGAGAGATCTCGGGGCTTCCGATGCCGCATACGCCATCTTCCAATTGGTTATGGGTTTCACACCTGCCGCATGGGATCTCTGGGGCGAGGTCAACTTTCTCGGCAAGACTCTTCTTGCTCTATTCCTCTTCATTTGTCACTTCCTTATCGTCACCATTCTTGTTACGGTCCTGACCAATTCCTTCATGGCAGTCGTCAAGAATGCCGATGAAGAGCATCAGTTCCTATTCGCAGTCAACACCATCTCTATGGTCAAGTCGGATGCGCTCTTCTCCTACATCCCGCCGACCAATATTATTGGGTGGCTGTTAATCCCGCTCAAATACACCATGTCTTTCAAGAGGTTTCTGCGCATGAATCGGCTCGTCATTAAGTTGACGCATCTTCCCATCCTGTTCGTAATTTTCTTCTATGAGCGCGTTCTTCTGTCGCATCTATCGTACGGTCCAACCGATCTTGTCGAACAACGGGGTCGGGCTGAATCCAAAGCACCTGTGCCTGCGTTCAGCATTCGGGGCCCTACCGAATTATTCAGCCCTCGCCTCCGTGAGCCTTCTGTCACTACCTTCCAGAAGGACCAGGCACTCGAGGAGGTGTTCAGGCGACCCTTTCGCGACCCTAGCTTCCAACCTACACCTCGCTATCCGACGCCTAGGAGGAACTCGGGCAATGTTGTATCGGATTGGATGAAGAAGATGGGCGACGATGATGAGAACACACCGCCTCAGGACGACTCACGATCAGTTTTGGACCGACTCGAGGGGCCCATTCGGCCATATTTACGGCGAACGAAAACCGCCGGTCAGCCGAGACGTAGGCACCCGCTCGCTACCAGGACGGTGGTTTCCGATCCCGACGACGCCGCAACCCCATTGGGTCGGGCCATAGCAGAGGAAGAAGAACCAGACTTAAATTTAGCTATGACCATGGAGGAGGTGCCACAGCAGACTGATGCTGATGGAGATGACGAAGACGACGACGCGAGTACCGATCAGCAGGTCACCCCGCGGGTCGAGCAGAGTCAGAAGGATAGCAAACGGCCTCAGACAGGATACGAGTCTTCCGAAGATGAGTCTTTCCGTACGCCCATGACTATGCTGCCCAAGTCGCAAAGCCGCACTCCAGCCATTGTGGCCTCACCCTCTGATTCCAGCTTCAAAGCAAAAGCACCTCTATCACCTAGCAAGAAGCGATCCAAACCAGGGCACAACCGCAACACTTCCACAAGCACAATTCTCTTCAGTCCTGTCAAGGAGACTATGAACGTGTCACGTGCTCCATCTCCCGAAAAGCGGCCGAGGACAAGCGCTCGCAGCGGGACAGCCACTGGTACAGCAACTCCGGGACGTCTGGACACTTCAAGTGGAACAGGCGCCAAAACTCCAAAGCGGGCTAGTGTGCCCCCTCCTGCTGCGGCTTCTCGTCCTCGTGCGATCATGCCACCACGCGGGATGTCATCCAACCTACTATCTAAAAGCAACCTGGCACGCGAGCCCTCGTTCAATGCCATTGCTCTAGATCTTGCATCAGATCTCGGAGACAACAACCTCAACCCCAATTTTGGCAATCTTAACGGTCTACCTGCATCGTTTACCACGCAATTCGAGATGGCTGCTAGAATGAAGGCACATGAAATGCAGAAGGGCAGCGACAACGACTCTGAGTCTAACCGCATGAGCAGAATTATGCTTGCGCGGATGACGACGCTTGAAGAAGGCTTCCGCGACATGCTTCAGGAAGTCAAGGGTTTGAAGCAGGGAGACAGCCAAGGAGGTAGTCGCGGTACCCACTCGCCGCCGAACGAGCCGTCTACCAAAAAGAAGGGCAAAGCGAAGAAGAAGATGAGCATTAGACGAAGTGATGAAGAGCCAAGGATGGGCTCCAGCCTATGAAGAAGTAACGAGGCTGTATGTGGCGCATTGCATATGTCGGTGTTTTCAGGGTCATCTTGCATTGCTTGCATTGGTCATTTTGGGTTTGGCATAACTGTTTTGACAAGATGATACCCCGCGGGTGTTTTCTGTCTAATCAGCGGCGTTTTGTCTAGTTTGTGAGCATGCATCGTATGTGCCTTGCTTTTGTATCATTAGTTTTGGTTGTCTCTGTTGAAGTCTGGTCGTAATTTCTAGTTCAAATACATTGGTATTGCAATGTATAGAAGTTGTTCGTGGTTGGATCGATTCGTGGTTTCAGTGCCCGCAGATTTTAAACAGTGATGAACCGGCTCAATTCATGCCTTAAAAACCCTTTCGAATTTCTCGTGAGCCATGTTTGGGATAAAATGATACACTACTTAGAATGCTATCTGGCCATTTTCCAAGCCAAGTGCACCGTATAGCACTCTCAACATCAACCATGCATGCCCATGTCTCCATCAGGCCTACTGGAGATATAGCTGCGATTTGGAATCCCCTATGACAACGTTTATATGTAAAGCAGCTTTTGTTCTCACGTCATCGGGTCTGATCAATGTATCACGGTTGGATCTCGAGGTCACAGATCTGCGTTCTCTACTACGATCAGATACTGCATTGACAGCAAAGCGACACTAACCGTGATAGTAATGAGGTCAGATAGCTGTATGAAGCGTAGAAGCTAGTAACTTCCCAAGTTGATGCATGCTTGACTGCTGAGAACTTCTGCAAAGGTCTAGATGCCGCAATCCATATGCCCCTGAATATCCTTCACAACAACACGTGTATGACCGAATATGATCCCAGCACTCAACACAGAATGCAGGAACGCGCATGTAGGTGTTGCGCAAACCACCTCGCTCCCTACCGGCAAGGCCATAGCCACATCTATATTTGTTCGGACAGTAGACGTTCTAGAATCGAGAAAGTGGGTCCAGCTCCTAAATGAAGCATCGATCTGACGTTGAAAGCATGTTGTGCGTTGTGACGCGCGCCCTTTCCCCACAAGCACCCTATTCTGCGGGCAATCGGCGCAGGGGAGAGCTAGCATATTCGATGTTTCGTATATTGGAGTGATCCGTGGATTTCCATAATTAGGGTCTATAGCTCAATTGAACCCTTGATTTTTAAATCCAAGTAACACTCCTCAATCGCTTGACAGGCTGCTGCTGCCATTCTACTAGAGTCACAAGCGTTAAGCTATCAAACATTCCCCCGCATCATCCGATACCCTTTGTTCGAGGAGACCGGAACGTTTTACCCCGCAAATCAACACGAGCCTCACACGACCTTTCAGCACACAAGGTACACGCACTGCGGAAGAAACAATATGGCGCCTATGCACAAGACACCCAGCGAAGAAGGTACGTATTTCTCGTTTTCCACACTCCCATCCATCAAAGTTCTTAATGGAAGGAGAAGCACCACTAACATCTTGTCCTCCTATAGAAATCGCAAACACGCTCGGTAACCTTGAACTCTCGACGTCACACCCACAGAAAACTGCGCAGAAGCCCAAATCCAAGCCCGTGGCAGATAGCTGGGAAGCCGAACTCAGTGGCTCGGATACCGAAACCGAAGATGTAGACTCGGGCAAGTCAGAAGCAAAGGGTTCACCACACGATTCTTTACAACCACTGTCTACATCCACGTCTCGCGACATCCCGCCAAACCCGCCGCCGCCTACACCCGCTAGTCCGACGCAGTTTGAGTACCCGGATAATGTGCCGTATAGCTTGAACTCGAATCTGAGCGATAGCGGGAGTAGGAGCTCGAGCAGAGGGGGTGGCAGTCTGGACAAGCGACCAGAGAAGACAACGGCGGTAGCTGGCAGGCTGATTGCAGGTGCCTTGGGTGTTAGGGCACCGAAGAGGACGGATGAGGAGAGGGAATATGATCGTGCTATGAGGGAGAAGGAGAGGAAGAGGAGGAACGAGGAGAGGGAAAGGGAGAAGAAGGAGGCTGAGGAGAGGGAAGCGAGGAAGAAGGCTGTTTGGGATGATTAGGGGAGCGACCACGCTTCTGCTAGGGCTTCGCTAGGTGTATGATACGACTTGGAAGCCTCTATAATTGTGTATATGTAGTCTACGAAAATGTACAAATTAGGATTGAAGAGCTGGTTTGAGTTGCACGGAAATTTGAGTGTGTTAGTATGGCACCTTCACTGGCAAACGAAGATATTGGACATTGAACGTGTTCGGCTAAAAGCCAAAACGTTGCTTTGCTCGTCGTACCCACAGCACCAACCCTCACACATATTATACAGACTGCTCATTGGTGCCAAAGGAGTGCATGTAAGTCATGAAAAGTATGTAATGAATTCAATCCTCCTCGCATGTGGCGCACCATCAGCTAATACGTGAAGACACAAAGAGCGCCGCGCAAGGCGGGCTTGATAAATCCGTGACGCCCGAACCCATAGAATCATATCTGAAAGCAAAACCAATGCCTCTTTTCCGCCATCGCCGCCGCTGAAAGCAATCGTGTACTCGTAGGTCTTCGGCAAGTCGTACTCGTGGGTATACAAGGTGATGACTTAGCCGCCGGGTGTCGAAGTTTGGTACAGCTGTAGGGAGCTCTGCACAACGCTGCGGGGGGTCGCCGGTCAGCAGCCACCAATCTGCTCCTGGTGGACTTCGAGAGTGTCGCCGTCTTGCATGTCGAGCTATGTCCTGTCAGCAATTGGCTCAAGAAATGCAGCCTCGCGCTAATCGCGGGAGACCACTATTCTCCTACTTACCGTGTCTGGGTTGTCTGCAGCTGTTACGCGCTGACCGTCGAACAGGAATCGTACGCTCGAGATGTTCTTTCCCTGGCGGTCGCAGAAAGCGTTCATGAGCTTGCCAAGGGCAGTGGTGCGCTTGATCTTGAAGAAGACCTCGTTGTTGTTATCCGTCACCTTGATGTTGAGGTGCTCGCTCTGGCCACCATCCTCAGGCTTCTGCTGCACGTTGGGCGAACCGTTGTCAGACATTTTGGGGTGTAGAGAGTTCGTGGATGGCTGGGTGTGATTCTGGGTCGTAGAGCGATAGGGTAAGGCTGTTCGGCAAGGTCAGTCGGCTGTGCTAGCGGAAGCGGTGGACGTTAAGGAAAGGACGTTTTGCCGTGGGGGAAGCTGCTTTATGTGGTGCGGAGATAGCCATACCTTAATACCGGCGCTTTGGGTGCAAATTACGTCGGGTAATGGAAGGCTCTCGTGAGGCTGCGCAGACGCGTCGGGGGGTTTTGTAGGAGCGGTGGCAACGCGCGAAAGGTTATGTGAAGGAGGAAAGCGCAACGAAGAGGTGGGAGCACTGAGAATTAGTGGGGTCTCGCTCTTAAAGCATTGGCCAGATCCAACCAACCGGATTCATCTTCATCACCTTTACCTGCAAAGCACAATTCCTCTTACCTGAGCTCTTGCAAGACTGCTGGCTCAGTTACTTCAATACTTACCCACCTTTTTTGTACAAATTTGTGCAGCGTTTCGGCTGTTTGCGTGCTTCACCATGGTATGCTCATGATGTCACATCCATGGCACTGGCGAGAAACACCAAATTGACAAAGTCTTAGGGGGACATGGACAAAGACCTAAAGACAGACCCGCCATGTCATCCTAGAGCATGTGCAATCCAGAGTGTGTAGTCTGGGCAATTTGTAATCCATCTTACTGAGAGACAGATTGTATACAAAAGAACAACTACAACGAAGGGAAATGCAGAAAAGAGGTACGCATCTCACACCTGAAACAAGCTATGAACATACATGTATGAATTCTAAGCACAAACTGACTTTGGTCAGATCGATGCCTTGTATGAATGCTGTAATGCTTTCTACAAAGAACAAGGAGAAAATGCCAGTACCGTGAGCTGTCCAAAATATTCGCTGCTGAAGTGAGTGTTTGTTCAATCATGTTCCCCTACACAGCATCTCTGACAGCGCCTTAGGCTTAAGATGGAGCAACGTGCTAAGGGTATATCATAGCTTCCAAGGCAAACTAGTGGATGAGGACTAAGGTTCCGATGTAATTGTAGTCATGTATCATAACAAACAAGAACCCAACCATTTGTCCTGAGATTGACACCGGGACCTCAATCGTTCTCTCTGTGCTGAAGTTTCGCATTTGTAGCCTTATAACAAAACAATCCGCTGCATGAAACCGCGGGCATTCGCCATCACATTACTATGAATGTAGGAAGGGAAACGAACGTCTATGACGCCCATCGCAATCAACATAGTGTTGGGAAACATAGTCCTTTGTGAAGCCAGCAAGCCGACGTGAGATCATGACAAGATCGGGACCTGGAAGCCAAAGAACCGGCAAACGACATGATGTCTAGAGTAGTTCTCAAAGCATTCAGGAGTTTGGTCGTTAATTTATGGGATGTAACAGTTCCTATATCATCCGCACTGTCAATCCCCACTTGGGAGTCCAGCCAGGTTACCAGGAAGCGTGTTGATCTGGGACAGCACGAGCGCGTCATGAGAAACTGAAGATTCCTGACGAGACTCTAAAGGCGCCGTCCTGTGAAAACATTGTACCGAGAAAATCTGGGTAAGGGCAGATTTCGAGTTTTATGTTCGCTAGCGTGTCAAGTCTTGGCGACGCGCTAACTTGCAGCGACGTCCGGGCGCGACTTCTGTTTTGTGATGGGCTTAGGGCTGTCAACCACGAACATCGCAAGCTCCCAACACGATATTGGCGCGTGGCTTAGTCAAGTGTTTCTGAGATCGCCTTGTCTTGTTCCTTCTGTCGTTTCCAAGTTTCACCCATTCCTTTCATCATGGCTTCACGATCACTATCGCGCCAGTCGCAGCCGACTGCAGCTCAGGTAAGTCATCAGGAGCTCCGACTGCCTCCCATCATACTTTCAATCTCCTTACAATAGGCGTTCACACTCTCTGTAGTCTCATAACAACAACGCGTTTTCCTTCGGAACGTCACGAGTCACGAACGGCACCAAGGCCAACGACCCGCTACAACCGCTGCGTGCAATGGCCGAACGTGTAGGGAAAGAGGTGGAGAAGTTCGCGGAGCGAGTGGACCACTGGCATGTCCACGGCAACGAATCGAAGAAAGCCAAATATCAGACCACGGTCAAGCTCGTCGGGAAGTTCCAAGACGTTGCAGAATCACATGTGAAGGAGCTGAAGCGGACAACGGAAGCAGAGAACAACGGAAGCCTCAGCAAGACTGTCCGTCGGAAAATACAGAGTATGGCAGATGCGTCAGACAATGCAGGACAGAGTGTCTTCGGCCAGTCGTCCCAATCCGTCATTCCATCTATCGAGTCCAGCGCCGTCCCCGATTCCGCGAGCGTCCGAGAGCTACGAGAATGGCAGGCAGAGCTTGCAACATGGAAGCTGCTGAAGTTGGTCATCGAGCATTACAACCCTGAACCTGGCACTGATGTGGCGGCGGAGAAGCAAACGCGATTGGAACAGGTCGGCGGAAATGCACGATACTGCAAGAACAGCGAGATCTGGGATCGTTTTCTGTTGGAGGATGACCAGGCCAAGGAGAAAGCGCTCGTCCTTCGTTGGCTAGAACAAACGGCCCGCGACAGCGACAGCGATGTGAAGGCCATCATTACAGGGCTGGAAGAGCACTCTGGAAAGGGCGCGCACACCTGGACAAGCGGCTGGTTGGAGACCAAGACAAAGATCAAGCAGGCGAAGCGCATGGACGACACAGACCAACCGCTGAAGCCGATAAACTCGAACCTCAAGACCTCTGACAGGACCGCGAACCTCGTTACCCAACTAGACCCAGATGCTCCTTCACGGCAAAAGCGCGCACTCGAGAGGAGCGACGAGTATTATGAGCGCTCTCTCTGGATGGTTGCATACGAAATGATGCGACGCGGACTACCCTGGAAGACCATCGTCGACTGGTGCTACGAGAGGAACGAGTCGTGGCGCGGCGTCAGTATTGGAGCAGCGTACGAAGGTCACCCAGAAGGTGGACCAAATGTCGCAGGCCCGACCGTCGGATACCTGTTCCGCCGAATGAGCTTCTACGCTGCAAGGGGAGCTCGGATACCATATGAAGGTGCTGTATATGGTCTGCTGAGTGGAGATTTGAAGCAAGTACAAGCAGTCTGCAAGTCTTGGGATGATCATCTTCATGCCCACTACAACGCACTCCTGCTCTCCCGATTCGACTCATATCTTCAGAAGAATTATCCGAGCAGAGTGACAGAATCCTTGACTCAGAAGTTTCTCTTCCAAGATGCAGTCGCCAATATCGGAGACTGGGAGAACTCACCTGAGAAGGTGATTGAAATTCTGAAGCAACAGAAGAGTACAGCATCCCAAGCGGTCTCTCCAATCAAGCTTATTCAGAGCGCACTTATCGCCAGAGACACTGATGATTTGATGCTGAAGGTCGGTGTGGCTCTTGCGGACATGTTCGACAAGGACGACCGACCACACAGTCTCATCATACATCCAGACTCGTTAGAAGAAGACCGAAGCCCGATACCTGCTGGAGACCATCGCACATTCCGCGCAGAACAACACTATCAGACTCTCGCGAAAGATCCACATGCTTTCCGCATCTTGGTTCACGTCTTCATTGTCCTTCGCAACGGACTACACACGCTTTTCGAGGATACACATCAAGACAAACTATTCTTGGCTATGGACAACGTCATCACAGCCTACATCGAGTTCCTACGTCTTACCAAACGATTCGATACCATACCGCTCTATGCAGCACAGCTCATCCCCGAACGAGCCGCCTACAGTCTCGCGCGTGTCCTCCCCGACATCAAAAATAGCTCTGAGCAACGTCACTCTGTTGCACTCATGGAATCATATCGAATCGACGTCGTTCAAGTTATATCACAGAGCTTTACGTTTGCTTCTAGGGATAGCGGGTTTACACACTTTACCAAAGAGGGTTATGGCGTTATCACAAATCCTATCAAGCGGTTCAACATCCTGGAGAAAATTACTCTTCCGACTGAGCAGCTGCTATGGCCGGGTGTTCGTGTCAAGCGGACATTTGGTGGTGCTGAGATAAGCCCACAAGACGAAATAGTCATAGATGCGGTGCAATGGTACAACTACGTAGGGAAGGACTACGAAAACACGTTTGGACACCTAAAGAGCGCGCTAACCATCTTCTTGCGTAAGTTGCTTGCGATATAGACATTCGGAAACTTGCTGACATGGTTTATAGTCAATGGTCGACTTGCCGCTGCCGAGAAGGTCATTAGCGATCTCAGCGTCGAGTCTCTGTCCTTGTCTCGAACAGAAGCTCTGCTCGGCTATCCCTTCGATTTCACCACGGCAGGTGCGGAAGAACAAGACGAGCAGCAGCTCCACGAACATCGCGACAATCTCTCGACTTCTGCACGAGCAGCCGCTATGCCTTTGGCACAATTGCCTGACGCCGATCAACACCGGGAGATTGTAGATAACCTACGTAAGAGCAGCACGGCATACTACACGCTCCAGCAGATTGTTCGCCTGTTGGTTCTCTTCCGTGAATGGCGTGAAGAGGAACAAACACTTATTCAGTCAGTCACTCTTCTTTTCTATCACTCTACGCACACCAACTAACGATGCCTCCAGAATTCGTGCAGAACGCAAGAAAGAAGGCGCATCTGCCAAACACAAGCCTGACACTCAACGCACGAAGGCGCTTCTAGACTCAATATCCAATGTCTTCGATACTCTCATTCCTGCCATCTCCCAAGCCTCGGCTGCAGACCCAGACTACCTTACACACAAAACCTGGGACCTGATGAAGGCGTATATCCCAGACATGATACTCGCATACCTCTCTGTTTTACAAGCGGCCTCCTGGTTTTTGAACAAGGATCCTGCAATCAAGGCTATGGAGGTCGCTGTTGTAGTAGCAGACAAAGGCAATGAGTGGGTCCAAAGGTGTTTACTTGAAACGGGGCGGATGAGCGAAGTGCTGGAGTGTTTGGCGGCAGTGTCAAAGTGTATGTTGAAGTTGACCGAGGGCGGGAAGGAGAAGGGTAACAAGAAGAGGGGTGGAAAGGGTGAGACGCTTAGGCTGTGGGATTTGGGTGCAAGATAGATGTGGGAATATGAGTTGTAAGATATCAGTCGCAATGGGAGGCCATGCAGCATGCGCGCGCTTTTGATTTTAGAACAGGACAGAGAGCATAGTAAGCAAGCAATCACGTCGTCAAACTACTTAGCATCCTGCATCAGAATGACGGTGATGTAACCCGCTCGTTTATCGAGCAACAGAGTCACCAGATAGGCAAGAAAAGCTGCATACTGACTTGAGCTCTACCCTTGGAGCTAAATAAATTTAATCCTTTCGTTAGTTACACATCTGCGCAACGATATATACAAAATTCCATGACGAAGAAGTGAAAAAGTGAGAACAATGCCGAAAGCCAGCCCTAAGAACGATGCTTGAATCCATCGTGACCCTCCCAAAACGCCATTTGGTGTAGGTCATCAAGGTGTCGTGTCTATCCAAAATGCAATGCATGTATGCGGTTTTCGCTCAAAACCATTCGCTGAAAAAACTAGAATGAAGTAGAAGAGAAAGGAAAAGAAAGCCTGTAGAAGGACCCGGCGAACGATGCTATGCAAAAAGACGCCAACGCTGATGATGCGCGTAGTGAGAAGTCAGGTATTGTTTGTGAATGTGGTGTGTGAGTGATGGTGATGGCGGTGGTAGGTAGGTAGGTAGGTAGGTAGGTAGGTAGGGATGATCTGATCAAAAGTCGACACTCCATCTAAACCTTGGATCCTTTTCTGGTGGTCCAAAGTTCCGGTCAAAAGGTACTCTTACGATACCTTCTTCTTCTTCATCCCAGTCGCTTGAGATGCTGAAACCGCTGTTGGATAGCTCTCGTCGCGCCCTTGCGGCCATGTCCTCTTCTGAAGGTGGTAATCGAATCTTGGCTTCTACCAGGGGTGCGGAGACGAAGTGTGAATCGAGTAGAGCGCGTGGGGACACGAGGTCTTGAAGGCAGTTAAGGGAGGATATATCGGATGAATTGAGAGGTTCGCGGTGTTTGGTGTAGTGGGGGATGGAGTCGGGGGTCGACGTGGTTGTGAAGCGGTGGTGCGCTGGACTGGGCTTCTCAGGCATGCGCAGAGCGTTCTCATCGCTACCGTTGGGAACTAATGCTGTGACTGGCGTATCGTTCCTACCTGAATTGCTGGACAAGACTGTGGAGAGGGCAGGACGGCTCTGGCGGACGCGAATTACTTTAACGTCCGGAATGGCTGCGGTGCGAGGTGCGGAGTTGCCTCGGATGATGGTATCACTGGATTCACCGGACGAATGCTGAGTGCTCACGGTATCGGTTCGCGCCATAGCCAGGTCACGAGCCATGGCTGTGTCTCTTCTCTTTCTCCGACGAGCACTGCTGGTGGCAGAGGGCGGTCGAGCTTGTGGCGTCCTGCACCGTGATGGGTTGAAATACGAACCATTTGGTGATGCTGATCGAGCCTCAGGCGTCTCGCCTCGCTCCAACTTGTGCATCAATTGCCTTGTGCTGACCTGGCGACCCAAGCTCAATTCTACGCGGCTACTTGCGCCACTGCCACTCCGACTCCTGTTGGACGCTCGTTCTTTGCCAGCCATGACACTAGCTTTGGGTGGTGGTTGGAGCATCCATCGGTTATCAATGGGGTCGGGAGATGGAAGACTGACGACGGGAGGGTGCAGATCATTGACTGGTGGTGCGCGCGCGGTATAGTAGCTTCCAGATGTTGAAGTAACAGGCCTCCGTATTTGATAACCCGCACCTCCGACGGAAGAGCCAGTCATGGTTTGTTCGAGATTGATTAAAGGCTCGTCGTGGCCCCATAGGTCCTCGTCTTCCCTCTGGTATCGCTTGTGGTTCCACGTCTCGTCGTCGTCGTCGAGAGTATCGTCACTGAGGCGGGTATTGCCGGCGTGGTCGACGTCGATGCTGCTCCCACCATTGCTCAAAGCCGAGCTCTGTGTTCCCCGTGTCGGCATACCCCTCGTGCTGCCTGTAGTTGCCGTGTTGGTCCTCCGCGCTCTTCGTGGTGGTGGCCCTGGGCCCATGGCGATTTCCTCTTGCCAGTATATGTTGGTACCAGTCGGCTCGGGATGATGGTATGCGTCGGGCTGCTCCAGCTCCAGCTTCTCCCTCACTTTGCGCGCGGCCTTTGCTGCTTTCCTCCTCTTTCTGCCGTCTGAGTAGCCGGTGCAGGGTGCGCACGAGGCATAGTGGAAGACGGCACTCTGGACTCCTCTCATGAACCAGGCCATGTCTTTGGATGATATATATTAGCCAACCTGTAGCGTGCGGGTGGGTGAGGCCAGCAAGGGATAGGACGCGCGTTGTGATGTAGGTCGGGTTAGAAGACGGTCGCAGGCGCGGGAGCACTCAGTCGTCGAGGCAGTATGGAGAGTCATTGCCGCTCTCCGTCGTGGAGGCTTCCAAAAGGTGAAGGGAAAGGGTCAACCGCAGTGGAGCGCCGACGTTTCGTCGTTGGTTTGGGCGAGCGCGGTCCACGGATCCGGTTTCCGGCCGGGGTGGACTAGGAGTGACGATAAAGACGTCTGGGCAAGTTGGCGGCCGGATGAGGGTTCTGGGATCACGTCTCTTAACACGCGCGCTCTGCCATGGACGCACACAATTGACCTGGGCCTTTGATCAATGGTGAAGATGACGAACAGTAATCACAAGCTCGACGAGACTGGTCCGCGATCGTCGTCCAGCACTCCCAGTTCCGACCTAGCGGAAACTGTCCCGATCGAGCGCGAAACGTTGACTTTGCTTCTAGCGCACCGTGGGAGCACATCAGTCTCCATTAATAGCCTAACTGTACACCTGATGAAACACATGTCCTCTTCGCCCTGACTACACTACTCACACAGGCAGTAGGCGGCCACTCTGACCCTTTGCACCTTCCGTCCGAGGCCAACCTGCAGCATGCAGGTATGCAGCCGCGGCATTACTCCCCCGGGTCGGTGTTATCTGCAAAGCCCTGCCAACACATGCATAAACTAGCGGGGTTGAGGCTGCCATGTTTCTTGGCGAGGCTGCCGGCCTGGGGAAGCTATTGGCTTTCTCCCGAGGCCACCAACACACCTCTACGTGCAAACAAGCATCGCATGTCCGTGTCAAGCTTACAGCACCGAGCAACGTCTTGTTTATGCAAAGAAAAAGCAGATGGTATATTGCTCTAAAAATGGCATCTCGACCACACAACGCCATGTCATGTCATCATAAACCAGTCCAAAATATCGAAAAAAAAGCGAAGAGAATTTGGCCATCAAGACGGCCGTGATGCAGCCATGTATCATCAAATGCTGAACCCGCGCCCATGTCAGCCATATTACTCGTGTCTAGAAGTTTTGGGGGACTGTCCCGCTGTGGTATTAATTACGCTGAGCAGACTGTACGACTTGGTCAACATCGAGATCCCGCCTGACACACACCAGTGTGATTGAAACACAGTAGAGCAGTCCTAATGACCACTCACTCTCTGATTTGCGCCTTCAAACCAGCATTCTCTCTCTTCAATCGTGCGTTTTCTTTTCGCAGGCGCGCAAGCTCCTCTTCGCTCGTCTTCAATCGTCGCTCTACTTCTTCGCTAGCCCTTCCTTTGCGAGCGCTGCTTGTCACCTTCTCCAGTTCTTCGTTGAAGCGCGCGTATAATGCTTCGTTCTCGGCATTGACGTCACGGTATAACTGGTCTAGGTGCTTGCATCGTGCTTCCGAAACTTGTAGTGACGAAGTAACATCGTTTGATATTCCTGATGTGCGTGCAGATAGAGTGTCCAACGTGGCTTTGAGCTTCTCCAGTGTGGCAATGCGATGTTCAGCTGACCTTGAAGGCGTGCCTCCTGTTATTAATGACGGAGCCGAGCTCTGAGTCGTCAGGCGTGGGGTGCTTCTAGCACTCAGCTCCTGGCCGATGGCACTCAGCTCGTTCTGCAGAGCTTGCGAAGCTGTGTCTATATCGCGTTGCTGAGTTTGCAGTCGCTCGCGCAGCTTTTGCGGCGATTGCATTCTCAATTTCTTGGGAGAGTTTCCTGTCAAGGGAGTGCTCGGTTTGGTTGGAGACCGTGGCGTCGAAGGTGGTAGCTTGACAGCGTTACCAGACCCGTTACGCTCGTGCAAACCAGCACTGGTAGTCGGCCTTAGGTTTGGGATACTCGAATTGTTTGGAAGGTTCAGAGGATTAGGTATTCCAGAGATAGTCTCGCTTCGCTTTTTCGTAGGACTGTTCGACTTGATTGTTACTTCATCCATGACATCCGGCTTCATGGTAACCGATTTGCCCCTTACGTGGGCTGGACGCTCTGTCCCGACAGCAGGTACGTTCTCTTTCTTATCCGGTCTGTCTACCCGCAATGGTGAACCGAGTCGCGTAGGCGTCGGTATCGATGATGTGTGCTTGTGGAGCGCCATCGTAGCGGCCGCAGGAGCCAAGGGGGAGTCACTGATTTGCCGATTCTCATGGCGTAATGAAGGATCAGCTTTGCGAGGAGTCTGTGGGGACCACGCGGGCACATCGTCAGCATCCTGCAGTGTCTTGAGATCACTCAAAGAAGAACGGCGCTTCTTGCGGGGAGGCCCAACAGTGGGAGGTACCTCTCCAATAGTCCCAAGATTGCCCACGAATCCTCGGCCGTTAGTGTTTGAGCTTGGATTCGGATTTGAGTTCGCGTTCTCAAACGTGAATGCGCCAAGAACAGTTGGACGATCGCGAGAAGACGGACGCTTCGGCGACAAGCGAGCAGCAGCGTCTATTGAGTTAGAACGAGCAAGGTGCCCAGGACCAGACCTTCCCATGCTGGGTGGTTGGAGGTCTGTTCCGTGGCTGTTCTTGCTAAGAGAGCGCCAGAGCGAGCCTACCTTGGACTCCTTCTCCGACTTGCTGTTCTCTCGCTCCAAAGTGCCAAATCCAAAACGCCTCCTCAATGACGTGTTGGAGTTGAGCGAGCCCGCGGCTGCATATCGACTCTTGGAGTCCATGGAGCCCCAGTTTGGGGTATTGAAACCAGGTGTCTCAGCCGGGAATAGTGCATCGATATCCTGGACCAGGCGATCCATGAGAGATATGAAATCGTTTGCATTGCCTGCAGGCACTAGCATCTCGGCAAATGCTGCAGTGAGGATACCTCGATCTCCATCGTTGCTAGTACCATCCAGCAGCTCCGCCAAGAGATTGATGACTGCCCGGAATGCCCGTTGATTGGGAGGTTGGAATTGATCGAAGGTGTATTTGAAAAACTCCTCGAACTCATCAGGTGGCATGCTGTCTGATCGCATCTGTAAAGAGACCAACGTGGCATGCGACAGCACAGGGCCCATTCTCTCTTTCCAAGCAACGCTCAGGAACTTCTCAAACACTGCGAACAAGACATCCACCGAGGATTGCCCTGCAAGTTCAAGGTTAGTTGGGTTTTCCAGGAGTGTGTTATACAGCTCATTGACAACAAGTTCATCTGCGACAGCTCTAGCGCGGACGGAACGTCCAACAATGTTGCCTTTGCGTGCGTGCAATGCTAGAGTCAGGTTGGCCAAGGTATCCTCGAGCTTCGCGAAGGGATCAGTCGGCGCGGCACCGTTGAAAGTAATGCTCTTCGTAGTGCTGGACGAAGTAGGGCGTGACATGTCCCCGTCATGACTGTACGTACGGGTTGAGCCAAGTTGAACAGGAGGCGCCATACGTGGTATCTCTCCCATAGTATGAGCATTTCGCTGAAGTCTGCGGGAACCTCCTCCTTCACGATTTATGCTGCCACTGAAGTTACCCACGCTACCGCCAAAGAAACTAGACAGCATCTTTACTGGAGAGTGTGGCCGGCTCTTGCTACCTGTTTGTTGTTCTGCCTCATACATCTCCAAGGCAAGTGACTTGAGTATTTGCTTGTTCCGCAAGAGATACGCCTCGGCTAGCACATGATTCTTAACACTGTTGCGCATTTGGAAGTAGTTGGCAAGTCGCTTCGTGAGGACAGGTCGAAACTCTTGGTCGGTAAGTTTGTCGCGTGCCGTGTAGCCGTTGGCACCGTTTGACTCTAGCAGGTAGAGTCCGTCTCCGAGCATGGTAATTGTGACGGTAAGCTCGACACCATTGTCTCCCACTGAAATGGGCTTGGTGAACTTTGACCCTTCGACTAGAATCTGTACTCTCGCAGGTTCTCTTCGACCTTCAACATACTGACCACCAGTCTCCTCAGCCACAGATGAAAAGAAGCTCAGATCGCCTGGCAAGTTTCGGACGTCCCATTTGCCGCCATCCCGCTCCGCTTCCGAAAACCTGCCTTCAACGCGAGCTTTGGTAAGTTCTTCGGTGACCTTGTGCCCTTTACCCTCATAGGCGCCTTGCAGGTAGAACATGCGAATGCCAAGCTTTTGACGTTCTCGACTTCTTGGACGTCCGGGTTGATTGGCGAGTGGCACAGAGGATATTAGTTGTAGGATATTTCCCTCCGAGTGCTCACTGACGAAGATATCGCTGAGACCCAGATATTGGTGGAAAGAGAGTTCCGTAGTACCATCATAGGATTCGGCGAACTTGGGGTTATCTAACTCAGCGAGCAAGCCACGTGCATTGATCGAGCTGTCCTCCGACTTCTGAAGAAGCACTAAGAAATCTGTAAAGATTATCATGATACCGGAAACCGTAGCAGGTCCAGACAGTTCACCATGGTATGGCGGAGACAGCTCCACACAATCAATGACTGAGATGAGCCGCCCTTTAGGATTGAATCCGGATGGCCATGAACTGACCATCTTGCGCAAGCGATCAAACACCCTGATTTGCGCTGCTGTAGGACCCTCTCTTGTGCATATATCCGAGATCATGTCCCTCGCCTTCAAGAACAACCTGATTGCAGGATGTCTAACTGGAAGTTGTTTGATGATGTTGTCAATGTACAGATTGTATCGCGGTAGGCGTTGAACCGGCTCGATAAGCATGGATGTAAGTCGTTGCTCGCCCGTCTCGTAGACCCTTTTTGAGAAGCTGGAGGCTGGTTCTTTTGTGAAGTGCTTTAGCAGCTGTGAGAAGTCACCATGAGCAGCCATGTAGTCGGTGTAACAGTCGGCGAACTGTGGTAGCCACTCAAGAAGAGCTCTGGCAACAGCTGCAGCTCCAGTGACATCTGGTGCGTCCTTCTGTCCACGCAACGGTGCGATATAGACGTCATCTGTTGCTGTCTCGATATCCTCGATCGCCCCGTTCTCGGACTCCTCTAAGATGATACGTATAGCATCCAGGAATTTGGAGTTGACTTCGAGTATCTTGTCAAGACTAGGAGGGAACAAGCCTCGTAGCGCCTGTTCGGTGGGGCTAGAACTCGAGCCTGACCTTTGCTTCGCCTTCTCTCGGAATTCGACCGCTACAGTGTGGACCAGCTCGTCCAGCTTGCTCACATAATTTTCCTCCGTATCCAAAAGCTCACACATCTCTCGCCGAAGAGTCTCTTTTTGTTTCCTTGAGAAGGACTGTGACCGGTTGAGGGCGGTTGGTTTCGAGGGCGCGCGGCGGAGTCTGGATGTGGGGAGGAAGGCGGCATCTCCAAATAGCTTGACGACGGGTGCGTACTGTCCGTACCGCTGTTTAACCAGATCTTCTTCAAGGTCTTCAAATTGGCCCGACTCGCGTGTTTCCAGCTTCTGGATGCTTCCCTGTGGTAGGACTACATCCAAATCTATCCAGGACAGCGTCTGCTCGCCCAAAGCATGGCGCACATCTACTATGACATCTGCGACATTCTCAACCTTGATCATCCTGGCAGCGACGATGGCGGCGTGCGCCTCGGAGAACAGCCTGGGGGCCATGGGCAGGTTGTCTGAGGAGTTGTATCGCTTCTCCCAAGCGCTCTTGATCTCCGAGGGCAACTCGAGGAAGTACTTGTACAGGCTGAAGGCGAGACCGCGACAAATCTCGTCGCCCTGTTCCTCGCGCGGCAGACATGTGACGGCATTGTAGTAGGTAGCCGTCGGCGAAATAATCAGGCGGGCGAAGCTCTGGAGGCCGGCTGGTGTGAAGACGTGGGTCTGGATGCGCGAATGTGTCGCCTGTGTGGAGGTGGCCGTCGGTCCGTAGAAGATGAGCACGGGGGAATCAGAGAGCAGCTCGTCTGTCGTGTAGAAGAGCGACAGATCCTCTGCGGAGAGGGCGGCGGGCTCGGGGTTGATTACAACCATGGTGCCAATTGCGCGGAAACGAGTGACGGATTTGGCAGCTAGTAATCAGACGGGTGAAGAGGACAATTAGTACAGTGGTTGCATGGCGCAGCCGCACAAGCAGAAGCAGAAGGCGAGGGCGGTGTTGTTGTCGTGTTGTCGTGTTGTCGTCGGCGTCGTGCTAGGAAGCCATTGGGGTAGAGAAGGGACAGTGGAGGCGCGTTCCGGGTCTAAACAACAACAAATCCCATGGATCTTGTTGAAGCCCGAACCAAGAAAGCGGTCATGCGGCTGCGACCAAGCGCGGGTGGGAAGCTGCAGCGCGAATAACCAAGGTGCCACTGTCTGCCACAGGTGCGACAAGCAGAAGCATGGGGTTCCCAGCAAGCGGCCGCAATGACAAGTATTTTTGGCCTGCAAATGCTGCCCTTGCAGCTTATCGTCCGAGCCGTCTGCCTGCTAGTTGCACATCGCCGCACCCCGCAGTGTCCACAAACAAAAAAACATCGTCGTCATAGCAGCTGCCGTCATGAGATGAGGTACTGTCGGCTTTCAAGAGTGTCAGCAGTTTGATTTCGGAGTGGTGCGGTCAACCAAGACATGGCCACGCAGCAAGATGAAGGCGGTGTGCCCTTCTCCATAGCACACCAACAGCAGCATTTCCGCCTGCTCGAGCTGCCCCCAGAAATTGTTGAGCTGATAGACGCGCCCAATCCCCCGCTGTAGGTGCGCCGACCTGTCGTTCCCATGCGGATACCCTTCTTACTGCAGACGCCAGGCTTTCTATCAAATCTCAAGCCCAGTCCGCCGCTCCTGGCACGTCCAACGCGAAGCCTGCATATGCAGTACTTTGTACGCCGAACAAATCTTTCCAGCTGCGCCAGGTCCAGACGTCCAACTCGCTCTTCCTGACCCAGCCTGCCCTCGAAGCCCCTGGCAACGAGATACCCACCCCTGCCACACGCGCCATTGCCCTGTGTACCACGACACTCGAGGCCTACACATCGACTGCGTCTGCTGCTGCCCTTCTGAGGGAGACGCTGCCGATATACGACATTGTTGCCGGAGACGTCGATGCGACCAGCAACAGCAGGAGCAAGACCAGCATATACAACGATCTGCCCGTGTCGAATGGAGAATGTCAGGCAGCATGGAATGAGCTGATGGCATTCGAGGCGGATGGTGGATCTTACCAACCTTCGCCCAACGCCCTCTCACAAGTGTGGAGATCCATCAACGCTGCTGCGCTGGCGGAAGGCATCAAGCTGGACGCGCAGTTCCTGACCAACGACATTACCAAGGCTGCGGCTGAAGAGGGACATCCGCCAGGCCTCGTAGAGGCTGTGTTAGCACATCTATCCACAGAAGATTCCAACAACAACGGGCCATGGTCATGTCTGGACAGAGCAAAGACGGTCGTCTTTACGGGCAGGACGTTGCTAGAAGCCAAGCACGGTAGCGACTTCCTCATCGCTGACTTTACTGACACGTGGGAGGACCGCCTGCCTGAAGTATGGCGCAAGGACGCACAACTTAGTGCCATCGAGGGCGTCTACGACTTCCCCTCCGATACGACTATAAGGGCAAAGAGCAAAGCCTCCACAACATCTATTGCGGACAATTCGGTAGCAGCCATGAAGCCATCGGCACGGAAATGGCACGAGAAGTTTGCCAAAACGCGGAATAAGTGAAGCATGACTGCATGTCGTGGTTGGTAATGGCGCGTGCACGTGACCGCGTGCAACGCGTTTGACCGGCATCGGAAAGTCCAACTGCCGGCCGCTGGCTGCTTGCTAAGGCAAAATTCGTCAGCCGCGACTGGCTAATCGCTTTCCAAGGTTGCGCTACATGCAAAACATAGATACCCCAAATAATATCATCTTATCCTCTTCAAGCGCAGTTCTAGATTTTCTTTCTCAGCGTATGAAGCGTGTTCAATTCTTGGCATCCGTTATCAGGCTTCCAGCTCGATCAGCTCTGGCACGGTTTGGAAGGCATCACTTCACGACCAGCCCTAAACTGCATCAATCGATTCCTCCCGCAAACATGGCAACTATCTCAGGAGATGATGGCCCTACTGCGCCAGCCCCTCCTGTAGTCAACGATTCAAACTCTATACCTGCGACCAAGGAAGAGAAGGCTCTACCCAAACTCACGCCATCCGAGTTTCGTCAGTACAACAGGATGGCCGAACATATGAACTATTTCCACGATAACTTCCGTGCGACCTGGAAAGTTCTCTATGGGGCTTGTGAGGCACAGAAGAGGCCCAAGAACATGTCTATCCGCCAGTTCATTAGCACAGGCCAGCAATTTTGCCGTAAGCACCAGACTGCAAAGCTCTAGAGTAAAGTCATCTAACAGTCTGCATGATAGATCACCTCACGGTGCATCATACGATAGAAGAACAACACATCTTCCCTGTACTAGCCAAAAAGATGCCCGCTTTCAAAAAGGAACTCGAGCTTCTTACACAGCACAAGCAGATCCACAAGGGTCTCGATAAGCTGGAAAAGTATCTAGGAGATTGTGAGAGCGGGGAGAGGGAGTTGCGATTGGGTGAGTTGAAGGAGATCCTGGATTCATTTGGGGATGTATTGTGGCAACATCTGGACGACGAGGTTAAGCAGCTGGAAGCGGAGAATATGAGAAAATACTGGAGTTTAGAGGAGATGAGGAGGATTCCTATGTAAGGGGTTTTTGCTTGAATTGTGGACGAAGAAGGGAAGCAGGCATAAAAACGTCGAAGCAATAATGACTTTACGCTATGGAATGCCTGCAATTTTCCGATCGACTATGATGGCTTCAACGTTGACGGGCCACCAACACCTATCCAAAGATCTTTCTTCCCTTGACCAGGCATTCAGTCCTCAAGACAAAACACCAAACGATGCAAACTGCTAAAGCTAACGCACTAGCGCGACCCTACCCCCTCTTCAAACAAGTGACAGCAGACCAAGCGTTCCCTGAGGCACATTCATGTTCGTTTCGCGCTATTGATTTGTTTTGAAATCTTATTTTCAGGTACGGTCCCCGGGTTGCTGGGAGGGGAGCCGTGGCACTAAATTAGTTGCAGATCCTAGATCAGCTCACGGCACGAAATGTGGTTGTTGATGTAGAGGCGAGCCGGAGATCTAGACCGATGAGGTCCTGGTATGTATGTCTAGCCTAATGAGGAAAAGAAATGCTTGGTATATCGTTGGTAATGCCGCTGCTATCGTACACGTACAGAGAAAAAAGAAGAAAGACGCAAAGTCTATGTAGACGACCATCGTCTCCATACCAGAAAGAGATGGGGTATGTTGAACACAAGGAAAGAGCTTTGCTGCCCAGCAGTAGAATTATACCTTTTCATCCCAAAAACGCCTTCGCTGTAAACACCTCATCACACAACCCCATATACGTATTTATGGGCTCATTTGGGAAGCTGCAAACCGATCATACTCCTCTTCTTCAGGCTGAGAAAACGTCTGGGACTGCGGAATTCCCACTCGATTCTCGGCGTCCATCCGCCCTCGCTAACAACATCTGGTATGCTGGGCGCACCGCTATCGCTCCGTTGGTGGTATGCTGGTTGAGGTGGTTCCAGGTCGTCTCCTGTAGTACGACTAAAAACGCTCTTCGTCGGACTCCTGCTGATGCTAAAAGCCGACTCAGTAGGACTAGGGAGTTGCTGCCATGGTCCACCCAATCTCCTAATTATCCTTCCCTCTTCGCTTTCGCGCCATCGCTGCTTCTGTTCTGCCGTTGCAAAGGTGGCCAGTGTACTGGTGGATTTGCTGATGAAAGAAGACAGGCGTTGAGAGATGACGGAGCTACGTGCTGACCTGTCTGTCGCTTTTGGTGGTACAAGAGAGCTACGGGCTGAACTCCTGCGTACCTCCATGTCTGGCGGCGCGAGCGAGCTACGTGAAGAGTTTCCAAGGTCAATCTCTATGATCCTGGGTGCAGCGAGCTCTTCAACCTTCTCGTCATTGATTTCTTTCTCTTCTTCCTCGCTGATAGTCTTCAGGGATCTCTTATCGTCTTGTACACTATCCGAGGATGTAGGTCTCGAATCTTGCATTTCCACGTCGTGCATCTGTGGTCTAGCATAGCTACCTGGCCCCTTTGCGCCATCAGGAACGTGCCAGCGGAGATCTATGCGAAGTATGGCATACATGAGCACAGTCTGGATTTCGACGAGAAAGTTGAAGATGTAGAATGGTGCCTTGCCGAGATATCCTGGTAGAGGTTGCGACCGTGGAACTGGTGCTTGGAAGGTAACGCCACAGCGAAACCATGCGCCAATGGAGAGGAGCGTTGTGCTAATCAGTAGAACTATGACTTTTGTACGGAGACGGCCGATACCGAAGCGGTCAAGTGGTGAGTAGGGAATGAGCAGTGTGAGCATCGTAATCGGTAAAGGCAGTATCGCGACGATTGCAAGAAATGTTGCGCCGTATTGCTGGAAGCTGCGGTCGGTAGCTCGAGTGTTTGGATTGAGGGTATAGAAGCTCTGGACGGTGGCCGTAATGACAGCGACAAGTGTTAGACCAATCAATACGTAAAGGACCTTGAATGCGATTCCAAAAGCAGGATGCCAGCCCACTGATGGATGCGTCGATCTCACTAGACGTATTGCGAAAACAATATTGATGACGAATAGGATGAGAACACCTGCGGAGACGAAGATTTGTGCAGCGATGGCAAGTCGAACGTTCGTTGGGTTCGAAACTGATGCGAGTCGTAGTATCGATGTGAGTATGCGCTCCATGCAAAAGCCTTCCAAAGAGTCAGTCTCCAATCCCTCCTAACTTACAACAAGACCTACCGAAGATGAAGATGTTTGCCAGAAATTTATGTCCTCGTGCTCTATTTTTCTGGAATATTTTCATGTGTACCCCCGCTCCAATCATGAAGAAGAACATGAAAATTGTTTGAGCTGGAATGTCGATGCGCTTGATCGGAGGACCGCCTGATGGCCATACCATGGGAGGATATGGAGGTCCTTGTGCTGCCTTTGCCATGTGAGCGACTTGTTTTCATCTATGTCCTGACCTCATACGGCCAGTTCATGTAGTAGTGTGGACTCACCATGGAAGGAGGCATGCCGCCCTGCGATGCCATGTTACTGATGAGCGATGATTAATTCGCCTTATTGAACCGAATGTGCTCCTCAGACAGATAGCAGGACAATGGACCTGGGCAAGAAGACTAGTCAATAGTCAAGATACCAGGACGTCGAAGCGGTACAGAAACCTTCGCGCAGCGAGGCACAAAGCTCACCATATATATCACACCGCACCATAGCAGCCACCACCCCACTCATGTCAACACGCCAGCAAAACATTTGTACTGTGTTTTGCCCATGCGTTCAAACAGTAGTGTGGTGTTTGATGTTAGTGTCTGAATCGCGAGGCTGGAACACCGATCGCTGCGCTATTTTGGGGTTGCCGCTAGAACTATATCAGGCATCCAGCATTTCCTCACCACGACAGCCCTGCCTATGTTGTATTATTTTCGAGTAATCCCAAACTGCGATCTGCATTATTCCGTCAATTTGTACTTTAGATATTATGTATGGTGTTAGATCCACACTCTGAGAAAGTCACCGGCTAGCTTCCATGATCAAGCACAATGCTCTTGCACAATCACATGCCAATGGAGGGTTGGATGTATCCACCTTGGGAAGTTAGAAATACTAGGTTATGATCGTTGATGTGTTCTATTATTATTATTTTGAGTGTTCATAAGAATTATCGACGTACGTTGACGATGTCGGCCCAGCGCTTGGGGCGCGGGTCTGTAGTAGTGCTATAGGTGACGTTGCGGATCAACCATGAAGATGTTTCAGGCTGGACAGCGAACTAATCGATGGCCTTTGGCTGCTCGCATTCCTGTCTTGTCTATTCTGAGTCAGTTCTCCGATTGCATTTTGCTGCCTCTACATACCAAAGATAGTCAGACTGGACTTCTCGTCCTTGTGGCTCGTCACGAGACTGAAGCTACTGGTCATTGATCTCGATCTCACTTTAGGCTTTCGAATGTTGAACTGCAGGACGCAAAAAGCTGGCGCCGCCATCAAAAGTAAGGCTTATATTAGCAGAGGCATAGCCAGTCTTGTCAGCATCATCAGTATCACAGTTCTCTTGATATATAGCGTAGCTTCCATCGTTCCAGCCCCCGAATGCGCACTGATTCTGCATCAACTCGAACTCGCCAGGTCAGAGAGCTGACATAGCATCACAATATCGCTCGGTTCGGGATTCGCTCGACTACTACATCAGGCTCCAGAGCGCTCCGTGTCCTCGTCAAAACCAATCGTCCAACCCCTGGATTGGGCTGAATATCTCCAGACTTGGACGGAGGATGCGGAGCATCGCGGTTTGTTGTCCTTTCCACCTTCAAAACACTAGAGATAGCCACGGGATAGTCTGGGGATACAGACAAGGGCCTAGCTTCTAGAGCTAACTCGCGCATGATGCTAGGCTTGTTTCGCTTGGTCGGAATTGCTCTTCCTCGGCGGCTTGATCTTTTTGTGGAACTGAGCCGGAGTTCAGAACCGACAAACCCGTCATGAGCATTTCGGTAGCCTGAATCATATCGTGGTTTGCCATTGGATTGTGGTGAGGAACCCTTAAAGAGCTTTGCGGGACTTTTTGAGATCATGGCATTTGGTGAGCGGACGATGTTCGACAAGTGAACTATACGAGGTGATGGTCGGCGTTCAGTGACGATCAAGCTGCGAGAAGTCTGTGCAATTGTCAGCAGTTTTAGCGTTAAGATAAAGCTGAATTACTTCATCACTCAATCTACCTGCGGAACGCATTTGACTCTCTTCGATAGGATCGATTACAGCGATGGGGGTAGTAAAGTTGACAGCGGCATCCTGAGGTCAAGTAGCGTTAGCTAGTCACAACATTGTTCTAGTGGCATCCGCGAAGCATCCCTACAACCGGCGTGGGCAGTCCATCAAGTGTTGTGGTCCGCAACAAGGCGAGCTCATTCACTGGTAGACGCCTTTTCGGATTGCTCGATAGCCCTTTGTTGTTTCTTGTTGTTTCTTCCGCAACGGTAGTTGGGATAGAATCTTCCGAGGTTTTCTCTCCTTCTTTGTTGACATTGTTTTCCAATGGTTCATCGTCTGTCGCAGCCTCTTCGGCCACATCGGACATGATGGCCGTTGTCTCCATCGATGCTTTGGAGGTCAACACTAGCGGTCCATTATACGCTTCTAGGGCTGGTACGTCACAATTGACTCGAGGGGACAGCGGAGCAAGAGACCTGGCCGGTCCGGCAATTATCTGAGTAGATCGCCTGAAGCGTGACGGGCGGGTGGGCATTTCCCCATGTTCCATACACTGAAGAAAGACGCTCAGTCGCAAACGATTGCCAACAAAGTTAGCGTCATGGGCCATGGTAGATAGGATGGTCGTTCACGTATGAGCCAGTGAGAGTACAGGAGGGTGCAGCCGAAGACGCATGATGTTCATACGAACATCAAAAGTCTGTCGTGTGAGCAAGCGAGATCAAAAGCAAAGGGAAAGGGTGATGGCTGCCAAGAAAGCTATGACCATTGCGGGTACATCCGCGTCCCCACCGCGGACGCGTCGCGAATCTTTGCAGAGGCCCTATGACACAGGACTCTCTCAATTGCAAGCTACCCAGAGGATATTCGACCATGTCAATGCCGTCCACGCCAAGATGGCCTGCAGATGAGACCGGTGTGCCTGAGATAGTCGGTGACGAGTGCTTCGGAGACTTGGCGGACAAGCTGTGCCAGTCAGTTCATGCATGTGAATGCGCCATTCAGCAACCTGACCCGAGTTCAGATTTTTTGAGCATACTATCAAGACGCCGCATACTTTCGAAGACTTGCGTAGATCGCAAGAGGGGAAGGCCCTTCAGCCTCTCATCCTATATTTGTCTACCCAAGTCGATCACCCTGCCCTCGTGTCAGCTCTCCTGTACGTCGAAGCAACCCATACCAGATCAATGGAACGCCAACGAGTGATAAGAGCTGACTAGCCTCAAGCGCCCTCAAAGGGCATTTCTCAGCCTTGGAGGAAGCCAGCGACGAACCTGGTGTAAATGAGGCGCGAGGCTATGCATGCGAATTCGTCGCCTGGCAGTTCTTGACGAATCTGAAAGAGGCAGATATTATCGAGTCTTTACTAGTAGAACTCCCGCCTGCAACAGCCCCGAACACTCCAGATGCATCGAGCCACCATCATACGTACGAAGACGGACGCGATGTCCCACATGCGGACGAGCGGTCGCCTCTGCTGCCAGTATCCAATGGCGATTATTTTGGGCACAGCGACTCTTCCAGATCTCGCTTCGGCTCATTGATGTCGCGATGCGAGAACCTAAGTGCGCTGGAACTTGCGACTGTATCCGGTGCGAAAAAGTTCCTATCACAAAGACCAGTCCAGAAGATCATCAACGGCTTGTGGAAGGGCGACATCGTGTTTTGGGAGACCCTCAATCTACACTCGGAGAAGAAACCGAAGAAATATAATCGGAAACAGGCCGATCCATTCTCACGTCTACGCGTCCCACTATATCTGAAAATATTCGAGACACTGTTCTTTGCGGCATTCTTAGGACTATACTACGCAGTGCTGGTGCAGCGCAACAACACCAGGGTCACCATCCCTGAGATACTGCTTTACGTATGGATTGCCAGCTTCGCATACGACGAATTTGCCGACTGGCTTGATGCGGGGCAGACTTCCTTCTACGCCTCGGACTTCTGGTGGACTTGGGACATCAGCATCGTTGTCGTCGGCTTAGTGTTCTGCATTATGAGGATCGTTGGATTGACTACGTCTAACGCTGCAACCATCGATCTCGCATACGACGTACTCGGACTAGAGGCTCTTTTCCTTGTGCCGCGCATCTTTGCTCTCTTGAGTCTCAATCGTTACTTTGGAACCCTCATCCCATGCCTCAAGGAGATGACCAAGGATTTCGTCAAGTTTTTGTCCCTTGTAGTAATCTTGTATCTAGGTAAGCCATTCGATAGTGAAGCAGTCTTGTTCAATGCTTACCAAAAACAGGTTTCTTGACTACTTTCGTACTGCTAGCTCGTGATAGCAGATTCAACCCCAAGCAAATGGCAAGTTGTTCCATCGAGGTTACCAATGTGCAATTTATTGACTCGTACATTGTAGAGTTGGATCCTGATTAAGGTCTTCTTCGGGTAAGCGAACCGACGTTGCTGCTGCTTCCTGACCAGCTAATGCTCCTCCAGTTCTAGTTACCTAGGATTCGGTGAGTCAAATCCCAGACAACGACCAAGAAGGCATTCACCGCCTCATGACTAGTGACTGACAACAGCCGTCTGCAGATGTCGCCGAAGAGATGTACGTACTTCGCCGAACAGTAGTGTTGATGGTTCGCTAACCCTGCATAGCTCGCCGTTCTTCGGTCCTCCCGTTATGGTGAGACAACTATTTGGAATGCATTACTTTACAGTCTGCTGATATACACGCTAGCTGATCTTCGTGACTCTGACGAACATACTTCTCATCACATCCTTGATATCGCTTCTGAGTAACTCGTTGAGTAAGGTACTTGGATTTCTCATTTCTCATTACTCCGCATTCCCAAAGTTGCATGCATGTTTATGCATGCCAAGTATAGCAGCACAACGGCCAACACTGCGCCATCTCTATCCGCACTCTCCCCAGAGTGCACTCACATCGGGAAGCGCATTTGGTTTCTTCCGGTTGGTGTTTCGGGTGTGTGATACAGCCACACCTTTGCAAACCCACAACCATGACCGCTGCTTCCTACCCTGTCGCCCGTGAACAACAGGCTATACCATATCTTCTCTTGCTATATTGCGTTCAAGAGGATCGATATTGACTAGGAAAAGGTTTTGGATCATGCGCGAGACGAGTATCTCTTCATGTACGTTGATACAATCGCAATGCGCCGCTCGACAAGCACTAACGGTATAGCTACTCCGTATATGTGCTCGAAGCATCAAGTTCAAACAGATTGACGTACTTTCTGCCTCCACTGGTAAGTGTGTGATTCAGTGCTATTATCGGGAGGTTAAAGCGGGCATTAAGCGCCGGGTCGTGCAATGGCCAATCGACACAGCCTCTGCGACCATCGTGGAAAATGCGCTTAGAACCAATCAGTCAAAGCTTCCTGGTCTGTTCGTAGGGACAGTATCGTCGGCGGATGCTCTGCCGTTGTCACTTCACTGGCAAGCCTTGTTCTGCCGCTCAGGCTTTCTCGACTCAAGGACGCAGTGAACCCCTGCAAACCCACGATGCATTGGAACTTGTGACTGTGCCCGCCATTTGCAAGGCTGACCGGCTTCCAGAACCTCATCCCGCTAGTCATTCGACCTTTGCGGCTCGTTTTGCCCTCGGAGCGGCTTAGGAGCGTTCGGATCGTCTTACTGAAGGCTACGCATTTACCTCTCGTCTCTGCAATCTGGGCTTTTGAGCAACTTACCGACACCCGGAATCGCCGTGTAAAAGTGACGTCCTTCAGTGGACCGCAAACACCTACGCTGCCTAGAAGGGCTCTCCGGCTGCCTGTCAATTCGCCACGCCTACTGATGGCAGATGCACCAAATATGCTTGGAAGGAGGCCCCACAAGCATCAGGCTCCAGCAGGGTTTACAGAAACAGATGCTCAGTTGAAGACACTAGTCCTCAAGCTTTCGGCGCAAGTTGAAGAACTTACTGCGATGGTGTCACAGGCCCAACAGCAACGCGAAGCGAGCACATCGGTCGCTTGATGGCCGGCGCTTGCAGCCGCGGGAATATAGGTACATTCGGCTAGGTACGAGCACCGTGAATCCGGTTAAAAATCAAGATGATGATATCTGTCCGTCTCAAAAGCTACTCAAACAAGCGTGTATGGAAATGAGATGTTGGTGTCTCACAGTAACAACGGCATCGGGGCCACACCTCATTGAATGATCAACGGCAGATGCAGGAAAGACATCCTTCACCAGACTGGGCAGTTTCATGGGGATGCACATCGAGCAAGGGTACGGCCTCCCTCTCCTCTTGCGCCTCAAGCTCCGGTCGGAGCAAGGATGCTGTGTTCGGCCCGCTAAGGTCTAGCTACCCGACCGTCTGGTTCACTTACCCACTCACCCTAGTCGAGCCAGCATCCTCCGCCCCTGCCACTCTTTCATAGCCCCATGAAGCTAACAGGCGCCTGCCGCGTAGGCGGCTCGAGCTCCCTGTTCATGCTGCCCGGTCTAACATAATTTCAGAATCTGCCTAACACCCAGAAGCCCACTGTTTGGATGTACTCTTTGAGAACGCACTGGCGCAGCATACAAATCGGTTCCATCTTGGATTAAGTTGCATCTTGCATCGCACAGATATAACTCGTCCCGGAACGCCCTGCAGCTGGAATCCTCACCCAGCTTCTACCACATCATTCCTATCTTTGCCTACCTTCATTCCTCGCCAAACTATTCAACTTCAAAGACCTAGTACGCGGTTTGCATCAATCCCTTTCATATCCTTTCATCATGTATTCGTACGCGGACCAGCCTACGCCACCCTTCAACTCGCCCTACCAACAACACACGTCACGGACAGGCTCCCTACTTGAATCGCCTTATCCTTCACCAGGGCGACAGGAGTCGCGACCGAACTACACACACGGTCTTGGTCTATATGAAGTACAATCAGTACAAAACGCTCTGCCTCCATCACCTCAACCATCGGAAAGTTGGGGTGGCCATTATTCAAACGATGCCTCTGCAGAGCCTATCGTAGAGCCGTATCTTTCAGGAGCTTTCGACCATCCAGTCTCTCGTTCGCCAGTGCCGTGGAGTTCCGCTCAACCTTCACCTCCCACATCACCACCACTATACAGCCCGCGCGCCATGTCTTCTGCCGCCTATTCGCCCAGTGGCCCAAAGCCCTCGGCGTACCCTGATTTGAAGATGGAGGCTTCTTCATGGAATTCGTCAGTTCATATTGGATACGGTACAGAAGCGCCAGTCACAATGAGTGGACCTCCGTCGAGGCAGCAACCACTTACCGTAGCCCCAGAGCGGCTCAGCTCGAATATGTATCCGTACGAGCATACATACCCAGAGCCTGTCATGTCTAAGTACGAGCCTGCGCCGATGTACAGCTGCGATGGCCGTACTTACGAAAGGACACCTTTGATGGCCAGTCGTAGTAGCCCACAAGCCCAGATTGCACAAACCACCCGGTATGCCAACACAGCGTCGTTGGTCAACCGCAGACGGGCCCGCAATCGTAGACACACTGACCCTGCTAAGGCTGCATTTCATTGCGAGCTTTGCCCTGAGAGGGGCTTCGCAAGGAAATACAACCTCAGACAACACATGCTCACGCATGACTCGTATCGCCAGAGGGCGCATATCTGCCCGCACCCTGAGTGTGGAAAACAGTTTGTGCGCAAGACCGATCTAGCTCGACACGATCAAAGCGTGCATACGGACGTCAGACCACACATATGTCCCAAGTGCGCCGCTGCCTTTCCACGCAAAGACACGCTCAGTAGGTCAGTAACGATTCGAGCACTTGTTCCTTTCATCTCCCTAATAAATGCTTAGACATAAGACGGATGGGTGCCCCAGCCGCAATCAGGTGTCGGTGGAAGACACAACGTACGGACATTCGAAACTCTAATGCAGATCGGACTCAGCTGCCACGCGACTCCTACTCGATCGCTGGAGCTTGGGATAAAGAAGCAGTTGGCATATACGGCACGGAGGAGCATGCTCGAAGCGATTTGGTTTTATCACAGCTTATACTATGGGAGATGGAGATTCTTATTGCTGATTGACTTGAAGATTCTGTTTGTACTGCGTGGGTGGGCATCTGTATTACGGCGTTTTGGTGCGCTCCAAGGAATGTAAGAGCGATAGACAGACTGCAGTTACGTAGTGAGGTTGCCTAGCTTCATCGCATGATGGCCCTCTCGTTTCCTATGCGAATATGATCACGCTTGTTTGCAACTGCTTCAGGACTCTTCTGCGATGCAGAAAACTCAAATCATCAACAGCTCGTCTAGCGTGACGCCTTGGCGGTCCAGGGTGACTTCAAGGACGCCACCGAGATCGATTCCTACAGACTGGTTGCAATAAGCCGGCACTGCCCATAACGTCTTTCTGTACAACCCACCTGCGTCGGGGATACACCGGGGATCACTACCGCAAGCCACGAAGCGCGGCCCTTGTCAAGCAGGCTAAAACTACATGGATGTGATCTGTTTGTGAAATGTTGCAGGTTCTGTGCATATTAAGCGCCCTCGCTGTGAGAGATTTCGCGCAGGCCGCACCTGACTGGCCAACGACACGCTGGGGCTGTGGCACGGCGATGCAGCTCGCGGACGGGCCCATGGTGCTACTAATTAGACGCAGGATGCTCTTTTGCAGGCTATATTGTTACCTGTCACTTCAGTTCAGGGTTAGTCCGGAGCAGCTACGGCAACAAGGACAGCAGGCGGCTGTTACTCATGCGATGCTGGAGTGTTGTTGCCATGTCACACATGGCTCGCGACCCACATCACATATTAACCCTGGAAGTTGTCTCTGCAACTTACCCGTCTACTCCAAAGACTAGTCGCATAGCGTCGTCATGGGCGCTTATTGTTTGGTCGTCTGGCCTGGTCTTATCTGGCTCGAGCCATGTCGGCTCGTTGGCCGCAGCGCTAGTCCCCCTACGTCACGGCAGCCAAGCTCCTCCCACCATGATCCCCCAGCGACCTCCCCGTTCTGTCACCCTCGTTTCGACGCGTCTCTTTTCGCTTACCCTTCGCTTTGCGTCAACCTAGAACCCGTCGCAATAACGGCCTTCTGCTGCCTGACCCGGGCTTCTGGGTCGCAGCCAGCCCGCGGCTGCGCGCTTTTTGGCCCCTAAGATGCTTTCCTCTCTTCCGCACTGATGCAGGCCATGCGATCAGCGTCTGGCTCAACCCCATCCAATTCCACATGACGGCATCGAATCCAAGGGAGCCGAATCAAGCAAGATGTGCTCTGGCTCCAGGCGCCACTCAGGTGACGCTCATTTGATGCGAGTGACGATACTCGGGTGCGAAGATACGGGACCTTCACATCCCGTTCCGGCTAGCCATTCGGCCTTGGACGTTTTCTATGCCGCGGGATCAAGAAACATGTCGCCTGTCCGGGCCGGACCCTCAATGCATGCTGGCCAACACTACCTCGACTGAGACATTCTGCTGCAATGCACAACAGTTAGGTCGCTGTTCAGGCCACTGCAACGTCGGCACCTCTTCGCAGTTGCTTCCACATTGACTCTACGGTCTGCATGTATTGATGGGGACTAATGACCTGCCTATACCAGAATCGCTCCAGCCTTCATGGTTGAACTCGTTTGACTCAGTACCATTCTGAAAGAGCTCGAGCCTATCTCCGCCAGGTCCTACGACGGGTCGTCGCTGACATGCATGGGTCTTTTGTACTACAGCGTCGAGTCTCGTTCGTTGCAACATTGCACCGTGCGCAACTCAAGCAGTACCGTTGACTTGGTCACTCAAATTCAACAATATACAACCAACTGTAATGTGCAACCTATAAGGTGCCTGCAATGAGTTGACCGGAAAGTCCACATGCAATTTACGCAGTCAGCAATTTCTCAAGCAATTTACTGCCCCGTATTGATGGGAAGATAGATGCAATAGTTGATCGTAGTGTACAAAACAAATTCGATCTCATTTGGTCTTCAGCTGCATGATTCTTTTGGATGGAATATGTACAGACAATTTGTTTCATGAACAAACAACTAGCGGCCCAGATGGCTGTCTGTAAGTCACGGCTGCGCATCACCATGAACCTGGCCTGAAGGACCAAGTTCTAGACAAGTGTAATAACGTGATGCAGGATCTGCGCAGAGTGTGCGTAGGATGAATGGCCTAGGTTACTCCCGCACCCCAAGGCGCATATGTATTCAGGTACCTACTCGGCAAGGCCACTTGTCGCGCCCTTATATCATAAAAAGTCTGAAGGCGGATTGAACGGTTTGCTCGGATAGTGTAAGTATCAACGAGGCTACAATTTGACAAACCGCCAATATCCTCGTTGTAACATCACGCACAAAGCAAACGGCTGGAACAACAAGTTTGGCGTGCACGGCAACTTCAATACATCGTGTTCAGGTCGCTGGGAAACCACACACATGGCACTGGATACACCGAATGCGATACCACGCGATGAGTATGCACGCGCTCTTGCTGGCGCCATCCGGTGCGCATCGCACCTCGCAAAGCGCTAAGCGGCGCTTCTGGGGATCCAAGTCGATCGGTAAGGCGTTAAGAGACATGGAGCTTCCGCTGCCCGCGCGAGCCGCATAACCCCTGCTAGCGATGTGTAGCCGCGCCTTTACTCCGCGATAGACGCCGGCTCGCTAGAGTTGCGTACAAACGCAGCTAAAAACAACGTCACATCTAGGAGGCTCATGCCCCGCATCTGCGGAACTTATCGATTATCCAAGCTGACTTTGAGCGCAAAGAAGTATATCCGGACCTCATTCACTTTTGGTAAGAGTTTTGATTTCTACACTGTCTTGTCTCGTCGTGGAGTACGTAGAGCGAAAGGTGCGTGAAGTCATAGCTGATCAGGCCCCCCGTTTATTCGTTCATCAGCAAATACTTTCTTTGTGTTCACATCGACCAAAGACATAGCGCTAGCGGCTTATATCGATCCGCTGTGGAGCGCTTGTGACAGTCTCCACATTTATACGTCTTCTGCCTGACTTTCGCGGTGGCTTTGGATGCCGGCGCCATACGCTTAGCGGCAGGCCACGATACCTTGCAGCGCCGGTGGAGCTATCGATCGGCTTTCTGTCCTCACTCTGCGATTACGAGGTTTTGTAGTTAGAACACACAATACACAACGTTCTCTGGGTACAAAGTGTGTCTCTGCTTGGTACAGGAAAATGCCTTGACGATGAACTCTCCAAACGCCCGTTCTCGTAATTCATTCGGAGTACTATGTTTCTTCGTGTGGCGCCGAAACGGAGAATTATGTCACATATCTCCGGAGCCCGTTGGAGGCTCATCAGGGTACCTCTTGTATACCACGAATCAACCGTAAGAATTGCCCAAGACAGCTTACTATTTCCGGGTACGGCTTGCCTCTTCCCCGGCCAATAGGACTACAGAACGCACGGGCTGCTTACCGCATACAGATGTAAGCCGGGCTGGATCTGGCACTCTCTTGCGACACTAATTTTATGCAAAACCCACCCCAAATTCCGGGAGCTGGGTACGCTTGGAATCCGACTGCAACCCTGATTACTTGGCAGATTACCCTCCACGATCGAAGAGGAAGGCAGCGAGGTGCATACCTTTTGCAGTTAGTCTGCACATCATGCACACGCCCACCAAAAACTTCAACGCCAGGAACGGTGGCTCAAACGAGGCTGACCACTTTCATGACTCAAAAAGATAACTCTCTCTGATGCAGCTTATGTGTGTATGTTTTGGCCATAAAAAAGCAGTGATGAAAAGCGTTATATGCATTTCGGGCTATCGGGTCGAAAACATCGTCACCCTCATGACACCGTAGTAACTCTCCTAGCCTTGCACGCGAATAATGCTGGCGGCATCTCCGTTGACCCTCACAGCCTGGTTCACTGGGCTCGGAGACCATCTTCAAATAGTTAGGGCTCTTGGCAGACAGACCTACGGCGTCTGCCTGGCTTCGGCACTTTGGGAGGCTGCCGTCCAACATTGTTGCTGTACCTTTCGATGTTTGTAAGAACAGCCTTGTCAAGCGTCAAGCGTCAAGCAAAAGACGTTGAAGCGTGAGTATCGTCCGATAACATCCCCGGCCCCCTTTGCAATCTTACAACGTTGCGGCACAGCCAGATCGGTACGGCAGCTGGAAACTCCCGCGACCGTTCACTTTCCACAAACAGATGTTCCTCCGAGATCGTCGACTCAGTGTGCGCGCGAAACTGTGCCGCCCGATCAAAGCAAACGATGAACGCAAACCGAGCGCAGGCAGGAAACCTCCGTGGGGGATGAACCTGGATCTCCTCATCTCGCTTGCGGGGAAGCACAACCCTGGCTTCCTGCCTAGTTATCGTACGAGCGTCGAAAACACAAATCACTAGACATCGATATCGGGCTACATTGCTCGCATACTGCACTTCAGATGATAACATATCCAGCAGACTGGTAGCGATCTCTCGGCGCTCACACACATTGTTACACCAATCCAGACTCGATTCCTTCGCCAAACCACGTCGGCACGCACCTATCCACGAGCCCCGACGAGGTGCTTCACCCAGTGCGAAATTTTTCGAGCTATTCAGCTTCATTCGTAGATAGAGAATCTGCGAAAGGAAGTTTTAGTAGACACCGTAGTACCAATTCGATGACCCATCACAGGCAAGAGTCCATGCGCAACAGCGGTCACAGCCGGATTATCGCGACTTTGAGAGATGAGAATAGGATATTTCTAATCCTCCATTTGGTATGTGACCATCACCACCACCTGCAGCGTGCTGTGCTTTCTCGTAGCCATTGATTACGCGCCTACCGTCCGCCGATCCGCATCGCACAATGTTATCATCAACCGCCCTGCATTTAGCCCCATTTCCGCTCGTAGGATGAGACAAAAGATGGATAATTGCATAAATCGAGCGGAATGATCCAATGCATATTAGTTTACCTAGGCAGGTGGCACCCAAACCCGGCAAGCGATGGGCCAATTGTACGTGTTGATGTTGGATGTGAATGGCGATAAATTTACCTTCTTAACGGTTCAGCCGTTCGCGCTTAGACGCCGTGACGGCTCGCGGCAGACAGGCCTCAGGAAGCCGGCATCCGAAATTTTCACATTTCCAGGCTGTATGCTCCCGTGTAGGACAGCTGTTCGAGCCGGCTTGGGTAGCATTCCACGCTAAAATGGTAGTTTCAAACCCTCCACTTGTATCCGGAGTACCATGTACACTACCTCGGGCCTATATCTTCGGATCCGAAGGCAAGACATGGCGCCCTTGGCATTCGTCAGGTTCCATTGAAAGAAAGACACGGCCAAGAAAAGAGGGGAAGTGGGCTGAGACAGCCTTGCGGGAACAAGAGGAAGTGTAGGTAAGCTTCTGTGCCTCGCGGGTGAGGCTGCCATCTGGCAGCAGGCAAGACATCCATCACCCTCTACGCAGCGGCAAAAGCAAAGTGCGCCGATTCTCCAACGGTAGTATACTGATCGTTGTGACAACCACAATCACCTGTCTTTCCATGCTATGATGTCATGTCATTGTCACTGAATTCTTCCTTCGCGTTTAGAGACGCACTGCGCAAGCGCGTTCTCAGCCCCCACACTGTTTGATATCAAACACTGGGGCCTAGTATCACACCAAAAAGCGTCTGACTCTTCAGTAAGATATGCTAGATACAAGGAGGTAGTTACTGCGAAGCTGCATGAGTGATTCAGCAGCCACCAGCCATGAACAATCAGCCGCTACTCGAGCCACCGGTAGTGTTTGTTGATCGCCACCACACTCAGGGTGACCCTTTGGTCTCACATGCCGTGCGAACCCAACGAGACGGTAAATAGACCTCCTTACCCCAAGGTATATCCATGAATGACAGTGAAGAGAACGAGTCAGTAAGCCGCCATTCGCCTTTCCGACCTTGTTTCGGAGCCGAATCAGAAGGGGTAGCATACCGTGTGCCAAAGCTATTGTAAAGCTCGTCATCGTCACCCTCCTCGCTAAGCTTCTCCTCATGGAGAGACCATGAGTCCACCCCGCGTCGAAAGAACATTCCAAATATGCAAGGGGTAAAACTTCCATCGCCTCTGCCTTTCACCTCTCCCTTAGAAAGCCACGAGACTGAGCGGTGAAGCACGTGGATAACTTGCGCCTTTCACGTATCGAGTCAACCCTTGCGTATGGACGAGGTTCTTATGCGCCTCATTTTCTTTACACGAGAACAGTATTGGTATCGTTAGTGAGTGGACTAGATCGCATTGCTGCATGGTCTACACGAGAAGAAAAAGGACCAGGGATCCCATCTTAGACTGGCAAAGAGCTTCCTTGATCGCCCGAGTCTCAATCTTTGAAAATGGTGGAGTGGCTTTTCTGGAGTCTGCACAGTGGCGGCCCAGCACAAGCGAGACATCCCTTTGCTCAAATCTTCGTAGCCTCTGTCCAGTCACTAATTCTGAAGACGTTGATGGGTCACTGTTTCGGAATGAAGGACTACTACACACATACATGCAGGTTCTGATATACGGTATAAACAGTTTAGCCGTGACTACAGCCGTCGTTCTACATGTATCAAGGGGTACTTTATTGGCTATAGAAGTACTGCAGTCATGTGGAGACTCTCACACGTCTCACAGCCATGCATTGTTGCATACTCTACTACGTCATACGACAATCTATTCAAAGCTCATGGTTAGAACAGACTGATGGTAGTCAGGCAACCAGTGACTATAGATATTCTCCAACCACGGTCAACATCTGCAGGCGGTTATACATATCTAAGCCGCAGTGCTATTGCTCAACCGAGTGCATTTGGCGCGTGGAGACGCAAAACAAGTATGATTGCAGAAGATATTCGGGTGTGAATGTCGGAAGTTCTAAATATATTACATATTCATCTACATACTTATCGTACCTACGCAAGCACCGAGATGCGGTGTTGGAGTGGCGCAGCCAGCACCGCCCTGTCCGTGCCGCATGCACTCGAATTACCTACGCCATATGTTTCTGCCGTTTCAATCGTCATTCGTGAGTCTTTCTTCGTGTCTTCTCGACCTATCGTCTCACGTCTCGTACATGCAAACTTTTGCGAAGCGCTCAGATGAAGTCTCCACCGCCAAAGCCACCGAATGGATTTGGCGGTCGTCCACCTGCTCCGCCGAAACCACCGGGTCCGCCAAAGCCTCCTCCGCCTGGGAACATGGGGCCTCTTCCTCTATCCTCCCTCAGTGGATCACCAGGTCCCATCGGATCGTAACGAGCGCCGGGTGGTGCTCTCGGATCATACCCGCCCTGTCCGCCTTGACCGCGAAACAGTGGATCGTCGAAAGTGGGATGCATACCGCCACCACCGAAACCACCAGGCCGTGGCAGTCCGCCTGCTAAGTGTGGTCTGAGAGGATCGTTCGGTCCAAGACCTTGTGGGTACAAGTCGTCGTGGCCGATATTGATAGGATTATTACCAGGCATGCGACCTGGTTGCCGGTTTACTTCCAGTTCATCATCAAAGCCGGGTATGGGCTCTGGTAGATGCCGCCCAGAGCCTGGTCGCGCGGCGAGAGGGTCATGGAACGGATATGGCCGCGCAGGCTCTGGCTCGTTGGGGGGTTGCCGTGGATTCGCAGGCTGACCTCGTTGCGGTTCTTGCTGATCTGCTGTGGGTGTGCGTTCTCGATCCTCGCTGGCCTCCTCATATCCTGGCTTGTTCAACCCAGGTGCCAGTTTCTGGATGATGGAGATCTTGAGAAGGGAGCCTAGATCGTTCAGCCTGCCTGGGGATATGAAGAGCTCTTGCACCTTCCGCGACACGTCCTCGGTTGACGCGTCTTCAGATACACTGAACGGTAGCTGTGATTCTGAGATGTAGTCCTTGGTTGTAACTTCGAAATGTGTAGTCTTGTCATCGCCCAGCGCCAGGGCGTAGACGACCGCCTTGCCTCCCAATCTGTTGACTTTGACAAGGTACTCCATGGCTGATTGTGCGTGCGCGTATCGAAAAGCGTATGAAGAGGATGCGTTCCATTCTTTGGGTAATGCGGAAGGGTTTTCAGCGTCTGCATGCGCTTCTATGAGTTCCCGAGTTATGACAAGTGACGAGCGGAGCAAAAAAGATGGATGCTTACCTATGCGCTCGTCTTCGCCCAGTCCGATGAGACGGAATCCAACGGCAAGCATGCCAGCGTGGACAGACAATGCGACAGCTTCGGTTCCGTTCTTGAGCTGTGAAGAATCGCCTTTTGGTAGTGACGTCGCCATGAAGAGAGCGAGCGAACCCGAGCTCAGCGGGTTGCCTGTAGTATTTTGGGTTACCATGGTTGCAGATGCCGGAATGTGCTGCGGGTCTGCAAGGTCGTGAGATGTGGCCCGGAGAATTTGTAGCGTCAGTTGCAGGTGGTAGAGGTGTTGTAAGAGAGTGGTGTATATGAAGGAGCGTCAAACCATAAAAGGTGCAATTGCATTCGTACTTGGACAGCAGGCAGCGACCAACGACGCGTCGGCGGGGTCCGGGGCGCGCTAATGCACATGCGGGACTGTTCGATCTTGATCTGCAAGCCTCACGATATCTGTTCATGCACGATGCAAGTGCCAAACTCGATAAAGTTTCAACTGTACTACTTCCATGACATCACCATTGGCATCTATGTGCTGCAAGAAAAGCAAGTAATATTGCTGAGCAAAGGAGCTGCTCAATGCGCATCCGCACGCAAATCGAGACTATGGTACTGCTGAAAAAACATATGCGCCACACCACGGGGAATAATCTAGGACCAAATGCGCCACAGGCAATGCAACAACAAAGACATGAGGAAAATCTGCATCGACACCGGTATGAAGCCTACTCTGGCACATCTTGCGAGTTGCTTGCCGCAAGCTCGTTCGGTTCGAGAAGGCTACAGTCAACGTTAGCATGTCCCAGGCAATAACAGTGAACTGATGAACCACTTACGAGTACTGTTTGTACAACGTCCCCTCGCCTCCCTTCTCCAAGTCTACGTTGAAGACATAGTAGTTGCCTTCGCTGGTGACAACCATGATCTGAGGGCCGTTGTTGTTGAGTGCTACTACATTTCTAACAGGCCCTGAAGACAAGCTCGTGGGCGAGCGCGGTATCTTGACCCAAGCAAAATCGCGCGATGGCTCCCATATCTCTGCTACAGCGCTAGGTAGATATCCGCCGACAGTAGCAGCGAACGACTTTCCAACGGTTTGCGATGTGCGTCGTATCAAGCTACCAAACGTGGGATTGATGGCTTTCCGCTCTGGCGACGTTATATCTGCCGTGCTCGTACCAAACTCGTCCTCTGTCTCTAGGCTTGCTCGACTATTGCTGCGCGCATGGGACGCCCCCATGGGCTTGCTGGGCCCGGAAGAGACGCTATTACTTCTGCTGTTGGGCGCTCCTAAGCGGAAGATGTGGACCGTCTCGGTCGCTGACGATACGCTGAGCAAGGTCGATGTGGAATTGAAGGACATGCTGTATATCCTAGCTGGTATGGAACCCCTCCTAAACTGGTACAGCTTCTGTGCATCGGGTATAGAGAAAACACGGATGATGGTGCCCTTTTCTGATGCCGTCGCCAGCAGGGTGCCATCGCTGTTCAGCGCAATACAGGACAGTGGGGAGTTGTGCGCCTCGATGACGTTGACTGCCTCCATCTTTGTCGCATCGTATATCAGGACCTCTCCGCTTGTGGGCGCAATGTGATCAGTCTTGGGCGGCGCATGCGAAGGCGGCTGGAAGGTAGCGGGTGCGGCTTTGGTGGGTAGCGGATAAACAAGATAGTTGTTTTCAGATGATG